AGCTTTCAAGGTACTACAAAATCTTCCACCTCCATGCATACGCGCCTTCCAGGAGCAAGTAACCGAACGCTGTCTTTGACCTAACGTCCTCTGCGATGTCCGAATTTGGGATCGCGCATGCTTAGCGTGTCAGCGTGCCATGGTGGGCCAACATAATAAAAGCCCACGCAGCATCTTGTTTGTTCCTGACCCTCGTCTTGGGCACGCATATTTCGACCTGGTCGGACCTTAGCCTCCATGTACCACTGCATTAATCCCGACATATTTGTACGTTTGTCAGAAGCGATCCAGATTGTCGACTACTCATTGAAACCAGCCGCAAGGGCTTTGTTAGCATGATGCGTAGCTTAATTTTGTTGCCACGTCGTAGCCATTACCTACTGACGATCAAACTTTGACGGATCCTTCGACAAACTTCTCAACGCACTTGCTTGTCAGCACAACTGAATCCTGGCAAACGACCCCGCAGCTGACGGAGTGATTGCAATGCGGCATTGGCAACTAACTTCTGGTCCTGGCACGAAATACTTGCGCTCGTTCTCTTGGATATAAGGAACATGATCAAAGCTTACTTGCACCCCATTCCATCTTTGCTAGTATTTGGCTACAAAAAGTTGACCTCGTATTTTTCCCACCAAAAGCTGCAACAACTTTCAAATGGAGCGCGTACGCAGCTCCCTTATCTTACCATAGGCGACAGCTTCGGCTTGTGCAACCCAGAACACAGAGCATAGATACCAACATGGACGAAAGGCTTGCAACGTACACCCAAGTGTTCGTTAGCACTGACAGTGGGCGTTAGTTTCTTCAACCTCCCCATTCTGGCGCGTACTATGTCACATGCAGAAGTGACCTACCATACATTATTGACTACAATAGTGAAACTGAAAAGGTAAACAATGACCACCTCAAATCAGTATTCCTGAACGACTCCGATTCCCCGGCGCGACAGTCTTTTGCTTTGAAAATATCAGCAAAGGACGAAACCTTTCGATAACAGCATGATTTCCTAGGTTTTTCCCACTACACCATATTACATACAGTTGTGTGTTTACGTTGCTCCTTCCCACCTTGCTTTCAAGACACCGTCGGTTTACTTCATCTTTTCGTTGAATCGCCGCACGTAAATTCGAGGCACAACTAACCTCCTGATCAGCCAGCTACTCGACTGTCTACCTGATGTTCCCTCACAAACATTATTTTCCGTTTTGACGCTGTATGACGGATACGAAAGGGAACCAGTTAGGATTCGTTTATATTTGTGCACCTCTTACAGTCACCACATGAGCAATTTATTCAACTACAATGACCATTGGGTCGTGTTGCTGACTAGTTGCGTAAGACGCTAGCTGAAGATAGACAGTCTTCCTGTAAACCGAACGACTGCTTACATAGTCCCTTCTAAGGAAAGACTATATAGTAGCATGGAGATTTATCCTGTTTGCCTGAAGCCGTTGCGCAAACTTATTACTAAATTTGTCAAAGAATTATATCCTCAGGCGAACATTAAAGAATGCTGAGCATCATATTGTGTTCAAGTGACTAAATCGAGCAACTCCACTTTGCTTGGTTCCTCGGCTATTCCGCATCCCGCTACGGCATCTTTACCTGCACTTTCCTCTCACCCAGCCCGCAACTCTATTGACATGATGTTTTTATAGCTTGGATAGCAGGGAAGATGTTACTATGCCAAATAAAATCTTCCCTACATCGACCTGCCTTTGGAACCTCAGTTTCGACTGCCTCCAAATTACCCGCAACCTCCTTTATTGTGCAAGCAATTACACCATCCTCAAATAATAAGTACATATCTCTTTAAGTGGGCAGCCGCGTCCATATTTGGCAAAGCTCAGGTATATACACCTACTATCATGCTTTTGCATGAGCAAATATTAAGTTATGTCAAATAAAAATCAACGGTATATTCCTCCTTATTGAAAGGCACAATCCCACGCGATGTTAGGATTCTTGATGTGCGGTGGAATCGCAAGCAGCAGATATTTTGTTTCTCGAAATTCCGAAACAGTTCTCCAACTACCTTTTGGCGAATATGGCCAATTTATCGGTTAAACTTTCCGGGAAAATTTAGTGATTGTCAAAATACAATAAGTGCATAGAAATTTATATATATATATATATATATATATATGTATATATATGTATATATATATATATATTCGACGCGGATACCGAAGCAACTATTATATGGTCAGCTGAGTATTGGGAAACGGCAAGTGGGGAAACCAAATTTACGTTACCAGGACATGATTAAAGGGAGCCTCACATGTTTTAATCTTGATTGCAGATCATGGGAATCGGTATGCATGGCGCGGTCTGATCACGAAGGCAGTTGCCGAAGTGCGGAAAAAAGACCTAATACATGCAGAGTAGAAGCGGCAAGCACCGATAGGTTGTACTCCAATGACATCGAGCGCATGGTGCTGTAGCACATGCGGTCGCGAGTGCCTTAGTCAGGCAGGCCTAGTGAGCCACGAGCGAGCCCACTCGGGACCACTACAGAAGCGATGACGGATCCTGCAGAGAATGTAGGCAGAGCCGGCGCAGCGTTTGTAGGTACGCTGCATTCGATTTACTAACCGCGTGCTTGCACGCTAAGTCTATTTATTTCAGGTGGTGGGTTTTCAATTTTGCCTAAATGCCTTTCTTTCTCATATAAATGTTTACCTGTACTCTATTCCATTAACTTGCACACATCGCTTAAGCCAATTATATTCGATTTCCATAACATTTGTGTTCGTGACATTTCCGTAAAGTATACTTTCTTACCTACCGAACTTATCTAGGATTCTTTTGTAAACAACTTATTTCATATGCTCATTAACTTAAGGTTTACGTCACCGTTTCCTTATGCATTAATCGAGTTATTTTCTTTTATCTCTCTCTCAAGTGATTGGCTGTTGGTTGATATTCCAGGTGTGACTGCGCTTGATGTGTATGTTGACAAGGTGCTTACCTGTCTATTGCCCACTACCTATTCCATACTGGTTCCAGGAGACATTTGGTCGTTGCTGGAGGGGACAGGGTGCACGGTCCTTGTGGCCGTGTTAGGATCAAAGAGTGGTTCCATGCACTCAGTGTGGAGCGGACTACGGTGTAGCCACCGCCTTGTGTGCGCTTGATTCCCCAAATACAGCGTGCTTGTGTTTGCCTGTGAAGGAGTGTGGGCCGGCTCCGTTGATGAAACGTGGCTCCCATCCGCCTGCCTCCCGGTCTTATTCCTTCGGGTTTACACTAGATATGGGGTATGTGGTTGGAGCTGTGGGTGGTGCAACGCAAGCTCCCCCATGGTCCCTCTGTAGGCCCAGGCGTCTTATGGCTTGCCACAGTGACAGGCAAATCCGAAACCGGATGCTGTCTCTCTCTCTCTGTATATATATATATATATATATATATATATATATATATATATATATATATATATATATATATATATATATATATATATATAACCCTGTAGATATATATATATATATATTATAACCTGTATATATATATATATATATATATATATATATATATATATATATATATATATATATATATATATATATATAGTAATACGGCCATCCATCGAACGGTCTCCTAAGGACAAGCTTCCATGAGACTTATTCCCTCGATGTGTTTCACTGGCACCTCCATGCCCCATCTGCTTTTACTTAGTTAAGGAAAAATGAGAGATGAACTCACCGCGCTTGTGCACGCTATGCTGAGCTACCTATGAACCAGAACGAAGTTTGGAAGGAGGTTCTTCGCAGGCACACTAGGCCAGGTAGTTGTTACATTACTGGTTAATCATTTCCGGATTCCGCGTGGATTCGTGATATGGAGCTTGTGAGCTGCTGGGATCAATACAGCAAAATTATAAATGAAATTCTCCTACTCAAGCATAATATTTCCGGAATCATCAATATTAAGCACTTTGTTTACACTGCGAGGAGGCTGGAGGCGTGGACAGTCCATTTCGAATCATTGTGCAAGACCATTTGGCCACGGGAGTTGACCCGAAGTGTACATAACGAAGAAAATAGGTGTGAAATAATACGCACACACGCATGTTTCCAGCTCAAAGAGGACAGCGTTGACCCTTTGAGCCACAACTTGCCTTAGGACTCCACATCGTCTTATGGCATGGTAACTTAGCCTTGGTAACATTTGGTCTTTATCGAGTACTGGGAAGGGGCACCTGGACAAACTTCGGAGGAGTCTAGTCATAGCTACGGTGATCTTCCGGATACATCATGGTTGTCGGGCTGAGTGTAGATGCGTGAGACGTACTCGCAAAATATGACATTGCGTGGTTTTACAATTGAATTGCTATGTCTGCCTGAAAATATAAACGAGGTCCAAACCGGTTGTCCAGGCGAGACGCTGTAACTGGGAAACATCATTTCATCCTCCCATGGGTTAAGGTTCAAGGGATAGAGAAGTTCAGTTTTGGTTAAAAGGAAAACGCAATTCAAAGATAACCCTGGTATGACAAGACATTATGTTATGTGATGTGTCGCCAATAATAAATTCGTGGCGAAGGATAGTAATACGCGATGATCTATTTGTCGCACTCTATAGCTTGCTGGGTGCGCTGAACTTAGGACAAAGTTCCCCGCATGTGTAGAGCGTGCAGTGAGCACGGACGATATGACGCCAACTCACTGATGTGCATGTCAAATGCTTTCTTGCAAACTGTTAACTAGTAGTTCGGAGGCGGATTAGATCATGCCACATGCAACTAGCAAAACGTCTCATGCACCACCATCGTATTGTAGAGCAAACGAAACATATCCCTATGCAGTGTCAGGTGTATGCAACACAATTCAAACGGAGAACAATCCAAAGCATCAATTTCAGAATGGCTCAGCGATGAGTGTTAACAGTACCCATCCGACTCCACAAGCGTCAAACTCAAACTACACCTTGATAGATAGACTTGGATCGCGATTCTCGGGTCTGAACGTCAACAAAACCACACAACGAGGAGAGAACTTGGGTTACACAATACCATTATGTAAATAGCAGTGACCCAAAAGGTGCGAAAAACAGTGGCGTTGGAAGCGCAAAATTTTTAATTCGTGCAAAATATTGTCAAACAGACCATGACCATACTGGAGCGGACGAACCCGTGTATCATTTGACTACATGTGCTGCCAATGGTGCAACCAAATCCGCGGTAGCCTCTACAAATCGGTGGAAAAAGATGTGTGAAGAAATAGTGTGTTGAATAACATAGGCATACTTGAATGCGCAATTCGATAAAGGGGAACAGTCGCATGAAACCTACCTGGCAGTATGTTGTGATGATGGGAAGATGCTCCACCCCTACGGTGATGCATATACTGCCTAAAAAGCTAAAAAATGTTGGATACGACTGAACCAATTATTACCTTGGCAAGCAGACCACTTCTTTGCCCGGTCACCACTGGAAACAAAAGAACAAATCCAATGAAATCGTCCATTTAAAATAACCAATGTTGGAAGACAATTGATAGCTCACCTGTGACTCCCGTAATCGAGAGCACGAAGAGTAGCGCAAGACAGAACTTGAATGAGGCGGCAGTCATGGTTTCACTCACTCCCATTCTCTGTTTGTTATAGCCCCCATAATTTATAGCAAAACCCAGTGCTACAGAGTTGCCACTTATGCTAAAGTGGTGTGACGGGTCTGTGCGAGGTTCCGGCGGTATGCACACATTTATGTTACTATGGCCGAACTATGCGCGGCTGTTGGCTAGGTTAGAACCCGAGTCGGTTTGAATCATCTCCTTAATGAACTCGTTTGCGCTTAGTGCCCCTGTGAAAACAGTAGGGTTAACGAGGAACAAAGAGATCAATTAAGGACACTTAATAATCATTCCTGTTCAGTGAGCAGATTGGTCTTAATAAGCGTAGTGTGCTTTGTGTGGAAAGAAGAGAAGTGTGGACGCCACTTCAGTATCCCCTAATTATCTACAACTAAAGATGGAGGTCAACAGGCACACGGGTGGTATCTACTCCAGCGAGGTAGAGAACAGTAGAGTGGATCCAATAATGATTGTCCAGTATCTTCCTGGTGCACAATGAACTCTGAAGGAGAAATCTCATGGGCAGTTATCTAGTCGCCTCTCTCAAATGAATGCTTTTCAACTTGGCGCATATAAATTGAGGACTAGAGTAGTTGTAAAGCACCTTAAAATCTCCCACAGTGTTGACAGTATATACAGCTACCCTTCCAAGAGACTAACTAAGGTGAGGTGCACGTAAACTAACGAAGGCACGTTTCATACATTTATTCCACGCTAATTTCAGAGCAACTCAGTAGGGCTACCTATACTACACATCCAGACCATTATATTGTGCCCCAATTTACCCCACTGTGTCACGTTGACAGTGCAAAATATCAGAATCGGATATGATTTGTCCTAGCTTCGTGGAACAGCAATCAATTGGGAGAGAAAAACCGGTGAATTTCTCGTCACAGTAAACAACCACTGTCGAGCTCGAATCAAAAGTTCAGAATAAGCGATTAACCAGTAATAGGTGCGCGCTGCGTCGTCACACTAAATGTCAAGAGACGATGAAGCGTAGAAATAAAACTCTGACCTTGTTCATAGTAACACCAACCAGTTGCTTGGTAACCGATCCTGTTTAAAACGGCAAGGCCGTTCAACGATGCTACTAAACTCCCAGGGGCAGTCCACCGCTCCTTACCAATGACAAGTTATGTGTAGTCGACTTAAATGGCCGTGAAACTGAGAGTTAACTAGGCCATCTAACTGTTCTACTATGGCGTATAGGATAAAATAACATGCGCCATGATACAACTATTTGATGACCATACATATTTCCTATGGATCTCTTCTCATTATACTCCAAATTGTTACCAAACCGTCCCAATGCAAGGACGCCGTGGTCTTCTTCGACACAATGCTAAATCCGCACATGGCATGAAGATATACACGCTAAGGTGATAAAGATACATCGTCTTTACTAACCAATCTGTGCGGATAATTAATCTTACACACCGTCCGCAACATGGCTTCCTGTATGACACGTCACTGTAAGTTATTGAACTACTACTTAATTCCACTGACCACGGACCATCAGCGACAACTGTCCACGTAAATGTGCAAGATCAGTTTGACCAAGTACCACACGAGCAACCCAAACCCAAACTGATAAACTCCGGAATCACTTATCCCTTACTGTTGGGGCTCTATTCTTACAAAGCGATTCCAGGTGAAATAATCAGCGTTACATTCGAAGCCAGCAGGATTCACGTTTGGTTTGACATAGGGCAGAGTTTATAGGACCTCCAATGTTTGTCTTATGTGTTAACGACCTGTACAAGGTATTTCTTCTCGGCAAACCATTTCTGCTTGCGGATGACATCCAGACTGTTTACAATTTTGCGTTTCATTGGTTCCTTGGTTTGTAGAGAACAGAAAGGAAATCCTTCGTCAACCCCATCACTTCCCGCTCACTGTAGGGATCATGAGTTGATACAGCTCAGTGTGCCACAAGAGAGCATGGCGGTCACAGTCAAAACAGCAAGATCCATGCTTGTACAGCAAAATAGATGTTTAATACTAGTTTGAAACAGTCCGCCGTTTGCGCACTGACGGCTGGCTCAGGTATACTGTTCCAGTAAGTCAAACATGAATTGACAAAGTGAAGTCAAAGCGAATCCGAAACCTCCTTGATTCAAACAGCTTTGTGTCAAACTATTCGCACAAAGACAAAATAGCTCTTGTTTCTCATCCCCATCTCACTTCGGAGAATGCGTCGCGTGTAAATCAAATCACGATGGTGATGACCATACTCCAGGGAGAACAACTTCATCCATAGAAGGTGATGAGATTAGGACAGGTTCCGGAGTGTCATGACGGGGTTTGCTCCCCGCCACTGAACAGCCTGTATCAGTACACATACATCTTTCGTGAGATGATAGGATGCTGACGATCCGTACACAAGAATTGATCGAACATAAGAGCTGAACAGAAGTCGGAATATATCTGGAGTCCTCTGGGAAAAGGGCCTCCGTTTAGGAAAGAACGTTCTATTTGCCGCGGCAACTTTCTTAAGGGTGTCGAGGCGTGTGTAGGTTTGGCGAGACAAGAAATCCAAGATCCTTCTCCACGTTCGCGTTCCTGAGCAGAAAGCTCCCACGGTAAGAAACACCAAAAGGGTCCGGGGCACCAATTGGGGGCATTGAACACTTAGCATTCTTAATGGGTAGCCGCCACTCCATTGATCCCATCAATAAAATACAACTCAATCAGTGTGCCTTAGGATGGTGTTGTTCAAAGTTCCATGTAGTATACTACACATGTATGATGGATCGGTAAAGTTTGCTGAAACAATTAGATCCCTTTAGTAATTTGAATAATGCAGTAAGAAGACGAACACTGGCAGATGTCAACATTTCGTATTGTCTCTTCAGTGCCAACACAATAACATGAAAATATATAAGACGACAGATAGGGTGAGACCGGAACAAGTTAGAACAGGGTAGAGGGGCAGGCGTGACACCCCTACGCCCAGGGCAGCCGTAGGCTTACGAACAGCTGTTTCTGCACACAGAGTGCGGGTTTGATACGGCTGATCGCGACTGCCTCTGCAAAACGTAGGAAACGGGTGTTAGTATGTCTTAACACGATTGTAAACATTGTGGCCGGATCAAACTGGTGACAGGTGGCCAGTAAGTGCCTACCTATGGATGAAGCAGGTGGTTTACGTGAACAGATGGTATGAGCAACCGAGGACTGGGTGATTTGACGCTGCAACCATTTAGGTACATGTTCCCTTATTCTGGAATTCAACGATCGATTGGTACGGCCAATGTAGTGTATACCACAACTACAAGTAAATTGGTAAATGCAATGTGAGTTGGCGCCAATAGGTTGTCTTTCCGTCATTGGGGTAACAGGCATTCGATTCGTCCGGTTGATAAGGACAGTTTCGGCAGCATAATAAGTCCTCTGGACTGCGGAAATTATGCGCTTCGTTGTCCTCATATTAGCGAAATCTCCCTTAAATGGTAGCTCGATGTAGATCTTCTTTTTAGCCACTGTCGATACCTTCTGTCCCGGCACCCTCGCCTGACTATGTTTGTCGATGAACCTACTTGGATAGCCATTTTTCAACAACGTATCCTTGAGCGAGTTTATCTCATCATCTAAACTGTCGGTAGTGCATATTTTCCTTGCACGGTTGAATAGCGTCTTGACTAAGGTCCGTTTGTACCGCATTGGGGAGAAACTGGTAAAGTGTAGGTACTGCCCTGACCAAGTCGGTTTTCGGTAAACCTCTCTTTTGATGGACCCATCTGCTCTTCGGCAAATCAACACGTCCAGATATGGAAGGCGGTTGCTTTTCTCTGTTTCATTGGTTACTTTCAGATTCGTATGCACGTTATTCAGGCGATCGACTAAACGCGCAATGTGCTCCTCTGATGAGCTAAACACTAGAATATCATCCACATATCGCTTATAGTAGGAAAGCAGCGATATTTCCACACTCAACTTCTTTTCAACCATCGACATGAAAAAAATCTGCTAGTACTGGGCCCAACGGACTACCCATTGCCACCCCATCTATCTGGCGATAAGGAATGTTTTGGAATTGGAAACCGATGTTCTCAGTACATAGTAGTAAGCTGTCCTTTAATAATTCGACTGGCATTGGAAGAGTAAAATCGGAGCACTCTGCCATTTCACACACGTAATCAACTGTTTCATGTAGCGGAACATTGGTGAAAAGCGATTGTACATCCAATGTGGACATGACTTTATCGGATAAGTTAAACTCATCTAAAGCCTCTGTAAGTTCGAAAGAGTCCTTCAGACGGTGTGGGATGGTCTGCTGCTTTAACGGCGAAAGAACTTCTACCAGCCAACGAGCCAACTTATGTTGTGCCGAGTTTGCCATTGACAAAATCGGTCTAAGCGGTATACCACATTTATGGGTCTTTGGCAAACCGTATAGCTGAGGTATGTTGGACCCTCCCGGTTTTAGGTGGTTGTATACCTCATCATCAATTACACGGTGTAAGAGGAGCAAGTTTAGGTGTTCCGTGATGCGTCTTTCCACTTCACTAACATCCTCTGTTTTTGTAAGGAGTTTAAATTTGCTAGCATCACTCAGTAAATCTTGCATTTTCCGTGTGTATTCTTCTTGCACATAACGACGGCTCCTGAGCCTTTGTCTGCCTTAAGTACAATCACCCCCTTTGTTCTCAGCTCTCGTAGTGTAATTGATGATGATGTATACAACCACCTAAAACCGGGAGGGTCCAACATACCTCAGCTATACGGTTTGCCAAAGACCCATAAATGTGGTATACCGCTTAGACCAATTTTGTCAATGGCAAACTCGGCACAACATAAGTTGGCTCGTTGGCTGGTAGAAGTTCTTTCGCCGTTAAAGCAGCAGACCATCCCACACCGTCTGAAGGACTCTTTCGAACTTACAGAGGCTTTAGATGAGTTTAACTTATCCGATAAAGTCATGTCCACATTGGATGTACAATCGCTTTTCACCAATGTTCCGCTACATGAAACAGTTGATTACGTGTGTGAAATGGCAGAGTGCTCCGATTTTACT